CAGAAGCAAGAATCAAATTATTGTTGTAATTCTTTCTTGTTCTAATCTTAGCATACACGAATTTCAAATCATCCTCCCCCTGAGACATTCACTTCATTTTAGACCAAACAAGAAGAGTTACATTCAAATTAATCTCTTTGAGCTTGAGATTAAGAGAAGCATTAAGAGTCGATATCCAATTGAGCAAGGCATTCATTATGTTGATTTTTCAAGCTGTCAAGAGATGAGGACAAAAAAATGGAAGAAGCCCAAGGTTTGTCTCTAATTATGGCCTTAAGACTTTGAAGCTTGGAGTTGAGAGCAAATATAGGATCTCCATCATAATGATTGCCAAAAATAGATAACAAGCCTTCCCAATTGCATTATACTTGGCCCAAATTTTTTTGAATAGGAACATGCGATTTTTCCTATTGCTTGGGAAGGATTCCAAAATAAGGGTGGAGTGATCTGAACAAGCAGGAGAAAGAACTCTGTAGAAAGAAATGGAGAAACATTGCATCCAAGAGTCATTAACCAGGATCCTATCCAGCTTAAGGTGAATAGGATTGTCAGTATGTTGATTGAACCATATGAAAAAGTTTCCCACCGATGCTAAGTCTTTAAGGCCAGTATCAATGATGACAACATTAAAGTCCCATAGGTTGTTATTGAGAAGGGCATTCCCACCACCTTTATCAGTTTGATATCTACAGAAATTAAAATCGCCAAGATAACCGAAGGGATAGCAGAAGAGGGCTTAACATCCCTTAACTGATCCCACAGACATCTACGATCAGCAGCTGAATTTGAAGGATAAATAACAGACATTTGAAAAGCAGGAATGTGACTAGCAGTAATCAACCCAGAAACCAATTGGCTAGATGAAAAAGTAACATCAAATGAACCTTGGAAGAATTCCACTTAACCCAAATAACACCAGACTTAGCAAGATTAAAATTATGAAAGTTGTCCTCAAGATCAAAGACAGGATGAGCGGCACAAAACCAAGGATCAAATACATTAGATGCTTGAATCCTATTTTCCAGAATACAAAAAAATGTCTAAAGGAAAAAGATAGACAAGGTCTTTACAACAGAGAACTTTGGCGGGGTTATTGAACCCCCTAACATTTCAAACAGCAGATTGGAGAAGGGTCATTGGTTTTTTAAGATTGGGGTTGGAGGCTTTTTGGTCTGCTTGCCTCTAGGAGCTTTGAAAGGTTGGGATGATTGGTTTGAAGAGGAGTTTGTTAGGTTTAGACTTGGTGTTTGAGGATATAACAAGAGAAGAAGAGCTGCTATGTTGAAGGACACAAATTTGTTTGAGGATATAACAGAGGATGTGGATCATTGTAAGACTTCAGTAGGGATATTTAACAAAGGAACCTATTCCGTAGGGGAGTTGAGGTTCGGAATGTCATTAGGGGAATGCCTCTCATGCCTACACCTAGCATCATGCACCCTTGTCTCCACTCGACACAATTGTGCATGCACACCTATCAACTTGACCCACATGTATCTCCACACCCACATACCTATCCACATGCATACGACAACTACCTACCTACACCAGATGCATCATACCTTCAAGCACACTTATCAACTTATTTCGTGTACATTGTGTGCACTAACTTGCAATCATCACCTCTCCACGTGTTCGTAAGCAAATACATCCCACCATGCCACCCTCTGAGTCCTTGAATCACTCCTCAATAGGTCCCCTAGTCCAACCTGTCACTATCTGTGACTATTCGTCAAGTCTCAATAGCACACGAGAAGTTAATACCCACAATATTTTAAACCCAATTTGAAAAAAAATACCATTATATATATATATCATCATATATAGAGCTATCGTCAATACATACACAGCATTGTTGACCCATTGATGGATGCATCATCAATGTAGATGGATGTATTGTCCGTATAGACATCATGGATGTGGCTTGAGGCATGGGCAAGGATAAATACATAGTCAATATGGGTTAGAGACATGGTCATCAGATTTGCCAAGTTATATTTGACATTAGCGAGCCTGGTCGGGCCAAAAGTTAATGGGCTGAGTTTGACAACACTGATTGGGTCGAAGACCACTCCATGACACAAACAATGAACACGTACAATGGAATAGCAGGTTGATGGCAAACTATGGGTTGGACCTTTATAAGAGCAACAAAAAATTCTCCCATTCAGTTATGTACCTTTCTACAAAATGACCAAATTTTAAATAATGAAATGAACGTTAAGAACTAATACCGAAACTTATTTGGTTTTCTACTTATCTTCCCACACCACATCCTCCCCTTTGTCATTTTTTAAATTTGTAATCTCCAAACTACCAAACGTCATTCAAATTTCATTGGACAGTAATGAACATGGAATTGTTCTATAAAAGGTACCTGATGTAAAAAGTACATGTGAAGATGAGTGGCTTTCGGAAATTTGCACACTTAATATTTCGAGAACAATAATAAATAAAACTTGTGCCGATTTAAACGCTTAAGATAAAACAATAAGGCGATAAACAAGCTTAGGCTAAATTACATGCATAGGAGTTAAGATCGTAAAGTAACCAATTTAATCTAATTTTGCATACATGAATGATTTTCAACTATAAATCACAATGCTAACAATAAGATTAGGCACGATGCAAGAATCCCTCACTCAACTCTCTAGTTATCTAAAGCTTCAGCGGGAAAGAATTAGCATGATCGTTGTGAATCAAAATATAACCACAATTGAGGAATAAACTACGAAGATAAGTGAATTGGAGGAGTTTATCCAAAGACGGGGAGTTACGATGTTCCGGTGTGGTCGATTATGAGCTTGGGGAAGAGTGAACAACAACTTCAGGATTGGAAGCCTTCACGATGGCGATCAAAGACCTTCTGGACAGCGGGAACGTCATAGAAGGTCACCAAAATGACCGGACAGAAGCTAGGGACGTCTTAGACATCAGCAATGACGGTCGGGACAGCAGTTTGACACTTGAAATAATTCTGGACAGCAACTTCGCAGACCTGGATAGCAGTTCCAGCACTTGGAAATTCTGGACAGCAAATTGTATGGCTTAGAAAAGCCTTGGACAGCACGTGATAGATTGTTGGATAGCAGACAGGAGAGGAATTGGTGACAATATTGCTAGCCGGAATTTTCTGGACAGCAAATTCCTATCTTCAAATTCCTGGACAGTCGTGAGAGCAGTTTTAGTTTGAGGACTTCTTCCCAAGGAGCAAGACAGCAGAAATTCCGTATTCAAGATACTAGGTGGCAGTTTTGGAATAACAGCCAGCATTTGGAGGCCCAAGACAGCAGGAACGAATTTTCCTTGGGCAGGATTTCAGATTTCCCTAATCAATTGGGTAGGGGTAGTTCAAATTTGAATTTTGAATGTAATGGATGGTGGGAGGGAAAGGTGATTAGAGAAATAATTAATTGGATCCAAAATGAATGCCAATTAATGTTGATTGGAGGGGAATAAGGGGCCGGCCATTAGGGGAGCAAATCAGGGGATTGATCTTAATTAACTGTGGGTCCAAGCACTTAATTGATGTAGGAGAATAAATCTGATTTTAAACTCCGATTTATGTAGAACAATTGGTTACCTAATTGGGTTAGGGCTTTAGAGAAAGATTTGACATCAAATCTAAATTGAATTTGAATTCAAATTCCCACTGATTTTGGATCAACACAAATTAGGAAACTAATTGGATAGCAGCAGTATTCGATTGAGGGCTGAATAGAGAAAGTGGGAAAAGGATTTAATTGATTTGGGTGTGGGCCCACCCAATCAATTAGTTATTTAATTAAATATGAAATTTATTTCAGATGTGAACATTAGGGAAGTTTCCTAATTTAAGATCCATATATTTGGAGAGAATTCAAAATTTGAATTGGAATTCTTCCCATAATTAGGTAAGTCTTAATGGCTTAATGAGTGAGGAATCAAGGGAGGAAGGTGGGGAATGAGGCTGACGGACTGTTGAGGGTGTTTGGGAGTGGTGGTCCGACGAGTGGGGAAGAAATGGTGGGAGGGGAGCTGCCAGTTTGGTGGAGTTGTGGGGGGCCGACGGTTCTATTGGGAGGAAACCGGTGATGGAGCGGGGTGGAGAAGATGGTTGGGAGGACAGGGAGGAGCCAGCGGGTGGAGTGGGTGAAAATAACAAAGGAAAGAAAAAAAAAAGAAAAATAAACCACGAGCCACAGACTATTTCAATGACTGGTAAGTATTGCGTTGCCCTTCACCAAGAGACTTTCTCCTCTCAAGAACTCACAAAGAGATCAAACAAGAAAAGCTAGAAATTTTTATTCATAATCATCATTCTACAATACAAGAGAGTTAGCCTATAAATAGGCCTCATGAAAAGAAAAATAGCAAAGACTAAAACGGCACATGACCACTCCTAAGGGTAAAATGGGAAAAAAACAGTAATATAAGATAAACTAGTACATAAGACAAAAAAATAAAATAAGCTCTAGATCGTAGCCGTTGATCTTCCGATGTCCTCATCAGTACCGCTTCGTCATGACTATCAATAACTGATATTGCATCTTGTTTCTATATAACTAATGTGCAATGGTACCATGTACCATGGCTACACTTGTCGGGCTGGTGCAAATGTGTGTGTGTGTATATATATGTTAACAACCTTAACACTAAGTATGCTTGTTGAGAATGATACAATCGACTAGATTCCTTAATCTTTAGCAATTTCAACACAAACTTACCAAGCATAATCTATCAAGGCATGAGCAAGCAAGCTATGCCAATTGAAATAAAAATATATCACAAAAACAATGAGTAAAATAGAGTTATATGAGAGGCCTTTATTTTAGCGAAAATTTTGAAAGCACATGACCTCAAATATACAGCCTCCCGAAAGAGTGAAATCTCCAACTATTGAAGCAATCAAGCAGCCATGAGAAAGCGGTTTTGAAGACTAAAAGTTAGTATCATACTGGAAAAAACATCTTAAGAAACAAAATAAGAAAAAAAAAACAAAACAAAACAATAAAAGATAACAGCATCTCAGAAGATCATTCCCCATGAGTTTCTTCACTGAACATCAAAGTGCAAGGATAACATATGAAGTGTATCATCATTGATGCTGACTTTAGAAAAACAGAAATACAAGGTTTGAAGGAAAAAAAAAACGGCTAAATTAATAGAAAAGGCTGCATAGATATAATGAATAATAAGTTATATATCATAAAGGAAAATAATTTCTTAAGCAATACAGTGTTTTTCAACACAGCAGTGAAGCGACAAAGGATATTTTTGCCTCAAATCCAAAAAGAACAAAGCAAAGGAAGACTTTAGTTAAGTTGACCATACTTCCTTAACCCAAATATATTAATTTTGACACAAGATTTATGAATAATGTTGTTGAGAATTTGATATGAAATTAACACCGAGTTAAATTAGAAAGCCAATTTCAATTATATAATCACATTATTGAAACTTGAACTAAATAACATGAAGGATACAATTTTGAAAGTTTACCAACACAATCATCAAGGAAGATGGAAGAGAAAATTAGCAGAACATATATCAGCTTATATGTCATACAACAAAAACAACAAACTGAGAAATATATAACTCAAATTGCATTTCAATTTTCATCAAAAAAAATTGCATTAAAAAAATAAACAATGAAAAAAAAAAAAACAAATCACCAAAAGCTAATGGGCTGTTCGGGATCACTTGTTTTTTTATAATCTAGTTTGATTTGTGTTTTTTTGCATTTTTGTTCCAACTCAAGCTATTTTTAAAAACACAATAATTATTAAATGTTTTTATTTCTTTTAATGAAAAACATCCTAGCCATCACTCGTTGCCATATTAGTCATTGCCATCATTGGCTACCATCAGCACCCGTTATCACTTGATGTTGTTGTTTTAAAATTTCATATTCCAACAACAACAACATTAAGCCGTCATCCCACTACGTGGGATCGGCTAGATGAATCCTTTCTCCATTGTGTCTTATTAAGAGTCAAATTTTTATTTAAATCAAACAAAAAAAATTCATAGTTCTTATTAAAACATTAAAAAAATAGAAAACGAAAATAAGAAGTAATCCCAAACAGCCCCAAATATCTAGGTTAGAAAACACTAGTCAAGGAGGGACACTACTCAATTATCATCTAATAAAGATAGATTAGACACATCTCACATAAGTCCTTAAAACAGTAACCATAGAAGACATTGGATCAATCCAATGACTCACGACATGTCTCATCGACAGTGTGCAAGAACATTAAATCTCTAAGAGGCTATTTGATAACCTATTTTAGGTAACATTTAAGCAAGATTTAGTATAAATGTTACCAAATAGAATATGGGATCTTTGAGTCCTATTTTCATAAATAATGTTCCCGGCCTATTATTGGTTAAATACAAAATCTCAAAATTCACGAGATTAATAGATTTAACAATCTCTCCCTTTCACAACTCTTAAATTCCAAAATAAATACCCAAACAAATTATGAGTTAGCAAGATTCAAATAGTTTTCATGCAAATCTTTTTCAGGTGTTTGTTCTCTCAAAGTTCACCAAATCAAGATTTACAATATTCCCAAAATCCTAATTGTAGCTAAATAGTCTCTAAAGTACCGAATCCATATCTACCCAGCCCATTTCTAAAAGTAGAAAGAGAGCACACAAGGAATAGATGGGAGGGAGTGCAAAATCCATCGATATACAAAGTTGCTTATCTTTTTCCACGAAAAGCAAGTAAAATATTTTCTTTGAAAAAAATTGTTCCAAATTTTGTTATATACAAACACTCCAACTTAAACCACAAACCCTCCATGCTTGTTTCCTCTTAAACCTCTATGATGACTTCAATCACTGATACAATTATTGCTAATAGAACATTTTCATTAATTCATGCCTTGGGCGCTTCACTTATAGTCTCAATCATATTTACACACCTCAAAAGTAGATGAGTCAATTTAAGCAAACAAGTCGGGTTATTGTAAAACTCAAAATTAACACAACCTGTGCAAGTCCGACCCAAACTTGAATCATTTATTATACTAGTCAAAATAATAGACCCGAACCCGACTAAAGTAAAATCAAAATAATCCAAAGATTCCAAACAAGGCAAGTCAACCTTGTTTATTGTGCAGATTTCAAGTCAACCCAACCTAAATAACTCGAACATGACCCATTTAATCTTATTATTATATGTATTGTGTTTGTTTTTGGGTCAAACCGAGTTGAACACGATCAAAATCTATATAGCCATACCAATATATCTTAAGCCTTGGTTAATAGATTTGTTTAGGTTTAACCTGAGTCGAATAGGGCTAAATTGAACTCCGTATTTTATTAAGTTAGTCAAAACACCATACATATATATTATCGTGTTAACCCAAACACAATTTTATTGAACTAGGTTTGTACCAGCTTGTCAGGTTGCATCATAATTGGCACCTCTACCCATTAGTACCTTAACAAATTCTTGCTGGACTAGAATGTCGCACATCTTGATTCTCCAAAGTTCAAAATTCTTCGAGCCATCAAATTGCTCGATCTCAATCTTCATGGCCATTGTTTTCTAATAGAACCCAATCTAATAAAATTTGTAAGAAAAAGTGCTTAACTTTTATGTAGAAGCATTACACAGGAGAGAATATGACCATACAATAGAATAAAATAAAACATAACAAAGAGCTTAGAGAAAACACTAAAATTTACATGCTTCATTTAAAATAAAATTACAAAAATGCAAGAGGGAAAAGTATCCCACCCTCCCTCTATCATCATTAGGTTTCATGTGTCTACAAATGCATTGCCTATCAAGTTTATTTAAAAAGTTCACTATTAGTAGGGTACTTCTGGTTCTACATCACTAATAGGCTCCTCTGAGCAAAATTCTTGTTCTGGCAACTTTTTATATGATGACTTCATTAATGTGGGCGAAGGGATCATCAAAGCAGTTAAGGTGTTATTGATAGAGCTAAAGGCATCACAAGTGGGGATGAGTATTCATCAATTTATGTATCATCAAAAAAAGGCTGTCTACAAATGCATCATTAATGTGTACAGAGGTGTTGTCAACATGGATGAAGGCATGATCAACACACACAAAGCATTATCAACAAAGACATCATCAACGTATATGGATTTGTTGTCGATAAAAATATCATGGATATAGCAAGAGGCAAAAACAAGGATGATGACACTATTATGGAGAGATCAAATAAAATGTTGATAGCAATTTAGAGGGTAATAAAGATGTTATCAATGTGAGTCATAGACATGGTCAACAAATTGGAGAAAGATGTCAATGATGAGTAGAGCTGTGATTTGATGTTGGTGACCTGGTCGAGGACGAAGACAATGGATTGAGTCAACGTTTTAAAAGGCGAAATCGGGAATCGAGACGTTTTGGCTAAGCGAGGCGAGGCGTAAGCCTCGAGGCGGATCGAGGCGTAAGCTAAAAAATAGTATAAAAATAAAGCAAATTTAAAATTATGGAACTAATTGACAAAAATGTCAAAAAATAACATAAAATTTACGTCAATTTGTGAATTTGGATGATTTGTTCTAAGATAATATTAGTATTATTACTGGAAAGAGAAGATTTAAAATAAACTTGACTTAAAAAATAAAACATCCAACTTTAGGATCAAAGATCCAATGCAGGCTCATCATCACTTTGATTTTCTTCAGAAGAATCTTCATAATTAATGTCAAAGTCATCCTCAAACTCTTCTTCATCTATAATATTTTTTTCTTTTATCCCTATATCACGTAATATTTCGTTAGCTTAGAATGATAATAATAATAGCATAAAAAAATAATTCATTATATTTAAGATACTTTGAATTTTTTTGAAAACTCCAATCTCACTTTGTTTCTTTCTTTATATATACATTGAAGTAGTTGCTTCAGTGTCTTCATGGAACTTGAGTTTCTCTTCTACTTCAACTTCGAAGGAAACATCAACATATCTTAGAGAGTAACCCATCATATCATCAGATTGTAAATCTTAACCAAGTAAAGGTCAATTTCATTATCAATGACTTCCTTGACTTCGTAATTTGAGATGTCTATCTTTCAGTTTTTTGTTAAACATTAACATAAACAAGTTTGTTCATTCAATTTGGGCCAATCGATTTCTTCTCTTAGTATGAATTTGATTGAAAGATGCCTCCAAATTACGCTCGCATGCAGAAGCCGAACATGTCAGGCAAGAACTTTAACTGCAAAAGGCTTTCAATTCAGGAACATCACTCCAGAACTGACTCCACAACGTTCTACATGAAAATGGAATAATATTTTATGAATATTGATTGAAAATTAAGATTGAACATAAATATTAAAATTTAAAATTATAAATATATAATAATAAACTATGACCATGAGATCGTGTTTGGTACATGCTTGTTGCTGCTCTAAATCCAAGCATTCCCTTCTTCAGAGAAACTCCTCAAGTTGATCATTCACTTTGAGATAGGCTTCTTCAGAGAATGAGGTCTATCCATACATACATACAAACCAGTTTTCACCTCTTTATCAACATAAAAGTCTTTATCATAATGAAATTGAGGATTTAAATAATATGCAGCAGCATGTAAGTGTTGGTGTAATTGACGATCCCACTTTTCAACTATAATATCCCATATTTCTTTGTAGGCACTTTCTTGACCTCCCAAATCTTTTGCAATATCTTCTTTAGCCTTATTCATTGCTTCATAAATAAATCTCATGGTCGGGGCCCTCTCACCATCAACCATTCTATAATATCCCATAATTATTTGTACTACCAAATACTAATAATAAAACAACATGAATACAAAAATGTACCAGTCTGCGGGGGATCCAAGGGGTCGTTGCCCCCTGGCGGGGTTCGACCTGAGAATATACTGCTTGTTGTACCGCTCAGTACCGAGCATATACTGCTTGGTACCGAGCATGTACCGCTCAGTACCGAGCATATACTGCTTGGTACCAAGCATGTACCGCTCAGTACCGAGCATATACTGCTTGGTACCGAGCATGTACCGCTTAGTACCGAGTATATACTGCTTGGTACCGAGCATGTACCGCTCACCTGCTCTTCCGACCTAACCGAGGCCTGAACGTTTCCTGCACTCACAACTTCGACTTCGTTTCCTGCTTTCGAAATCTTTATTGCTTTTGGATTCGTTTCCTGCGTCGTCTCCTTCTGACTTCGTCTCCTGCACTCACGGCTTCGTCTCTTTCCCTCACGGCTTCGCCTCTAGTTCGCCTTTCAATTCTCACAGGAAGCCCTAATCCTATATGTGAATACACAAACACGAATCGGCTGCGTCGTATTTATATATATACCGAAGAAAAAATTTCGAGGCGGTGCCTCATACTGCCTCGAGGCGTTACGCTCTAATGCGTACGCCTTGTGCGAAAAAATCGTAGGCTTCGCTGGATGGTTCGAGGCGTAAGCCCTGATACGCATGACTTCCGCCTCGACTTGAGGCGCGACTCAATGCGGACGACTCGTCCGCTTTTTTAAGGGTTGGATTGAGTATAATAGCACATATTAGAATGAAGATCATGTTGATGGCATGAGTTAAAAAATGATTGGAGAAACGGGTTAATAACAACACCACTAGTTGGTCATCTCATACAACAACAACAAGCCTTTATCCCACTACATGAGACTGGCTACATGAATCCTTCTCCACTATGTCCCATTAAGAGTAAGAGTAAAATTATCATTTAAATATTAAAAAAACATTTTTAGTACTTTCTAACCAAATTTTTTAGGTCTATTTCTATCTTTTTAACATAGGGCTGATCTAATACATATACTCTCCTAATAAGGTGATCGGAAGGCCAACATTTTATCATTTTATGTGACCAAACCAAATGAGTCGACTCTTTTTAATCTTATTTGCCACTGGAGCTACTCCAACCTTTCACGTATACACTTGCTTCGCATCTCTAAGTGTTAAGCTACTTATCCACCTAAGCATCCTCATCTAACACTTAATTTAATTTTATGCGAATTTTTTAATGCCAATATTTTACACCATAAAGCATTGCATGTCTCATCACCATTTTATAAAAAATTTCCTTTAAGTTTGATGGGTACTTTTCTATCACAAATAAGGCCTTATGCATTCCTTCCCTTCAACTATCCAACTTGACTTCTACAAATAATATCCTCGTCTATTTCACCATCGCTCTAAAACATGCACTCTTTTCAATTACTTGATCACCCAATGTCGCAATCCCACAACTAGATCTATTACTAATAAAATTACACTATATATTTAGTTTTAGCTCTAATCATACGAAAACCTTTAGACTCTAAGTTTGACCTTTATAATTCAAGTTTTTTTTTCTTCAACGTCCTCTCTAGTCTTATTAACAAAAAGAATGTAATCAACAAAAAGCATACAACAAGGTACATCCTCTTGCAAATGTCTGGTAATTGTATAAAAGACTCATGTCATGATTGCTCGACAAGTTTTAAGCTGATTGTCAACTCCCTAACATAATTATTCACTTTTCCCATCCAAAGCTTGGGACCAGCATCTTACACAGGAAACCAAATATTCTCTCACTCAGTCTAAGCCTTTTTACAAAATAATCAAAATCTATAAACTCAAATTAATACTAGGAACTCCTAATATTGAAATTTCTTTGGTTTACTAACTTATTTTACCACACCATATCATCCCCTTGGTCATTTTTTGACATTTGTAATGATCTAAGCTATCACGTGTCTTCTAATTGACCTTCCACATATCATTGGTCTTTAAGAGATCGATGAACATCAAGTTGGCCTTCAAAAGGTACTACTTAATCATGACTGCTAATGTGTTATGTGCCATGGCTACGCTTGTTGAGTTGCGCAAAGGACGTCAACAACAAGTCGCACATATTGAGAATGGTAAAAACAACTAGGTTCCTTTAACATTATCATACCAATACTAATCGAGGAAACAAAAGACTAGTATGGCATAAACAAGCATGCAATGCCTATTGGAATAAAAATAGATCATAATACACAAAAGAGTAAACCTAAATCTCATGAGGGAGAACTTTTGCGGATTGAATGTTGGTGGCTCGTATCATGACATTAAGTTTGAGAGTAAATTAAATAGTGTGGTTTTTAAAAATTTTATGCAATTCTTGAATTATCTCATATTAATTATTACATTTTATTTATGGAATAAATTCTAACCCATTGTAAATTGAACTCATGAACATTACACCATGACTAATATTAATTCTCCAAAAAAATATTAAGAGAGACACATGCACAACAAGCACTTGAGGGATAAAATCTAAGTAATTCCCACGCACATTAAGCCCAATTTGTTTGAGAATCAAACATAGTTTAAAATTGCGCAATAGGAGGCACGCCTTTGCGCAATTCTACCCTAAAGAGCCTCATTGCTTAAGCAATTTCGGGTCTGGGTGAGTCTTATGCCTCATGGATCCTGAGGCGCGCCTCAGAGGCTTAATTGCACAATTTTGGGTGAGGCTTACGCCTCATGGAGCCGGGTCCCACACACTTAAGTTCTCAAAAAAAGCCATTTCATCAATTTCTTCTTTCCTCCTACCCGAACTGAACGGAAGAGCTCCGCAAGCCATAGTCCGCACGCCCTAGCTTCTCTTGGCTGGCCTTCCCACCGCCTCTCCCGTCTGCGCCGCCTCACGCCGGTGAGCAACTTGAGTCCGGCCGCCCTCTACAACACCTCTAATATGGGTTTTAGGTTTTTATTTTTTTTTTAATTCAAGGTTTGATTTTTGAAGTTATTGAAAATCTATGGTTTAAAATTTTTTGAGATTTTTGGTTTGATTTTGCATTTGTGCATTAGGAAACATGGTTAAAGGAAAGGAAAAGTCAAATACATCATTGCGGAGGGACCGTTCTTGGAAGTACAGTGTACAGGTTGACGTAGGCGGTGGCGAGAAGGCATACGTGTATTTGAAATGCAATTTTTGTGATGGGACATGATTGGATTTTAGATGTTTTTTCTTATTTATACTTTGAGAGTTTTGACTTTTGATAGACTTCAAGTTGTGATTTTATACTTTGAATTATGCTATGAGATGCATATATTGCATCTATTTTATTGTTTTCCACTAAGTTCACTTCTTATTTAGATATTTTTATTATATCATAGACTCTTACTATTATTTACCTGCTATAATACTTAAATTTCCATTTACGCAATTCTTCGTTCGTGAGGCTTACGCCTCACACCGCCTCGAGGCTTACGCCTTGCCTCACGGACGAAAAACGCCTCGAGGCTTATTTACGCAATTTTAAACCTTGCAATCAAATTTATCAAGAAACTCCCGAAAATAATCACTATAATACTTTGCATAGCAAAAAATTAATATTATCCATCCCAACTGATGAGAAAAAGGATTCATGTAGCCGACCCCACGTAGTGGGACAAAGGCTTGATGTTGTTGTTGTTGTATCAATCCCAACTAATATATAACAAGTCTACAAAAAACTGTTGCAATACATTTAAATCACTAATCCAAATACAAAAGTGTCTTAAGTATCTTATAAAAATAAGTGAAGAAAAAAAGATAACATCATCTCAGAAAAGAAAATTCCCCATAAGTGTCTTCAATGGGGATCAAAGAGCAAGGATAACATATGGGATCATCATTGATATTGAATCACAAAAAACAAAAATGCATCATTTGGAGAAAAATAGTAGATAAATCAATAGACAAGGCTGCATACATACACTAAGCAATAAGATAAATGTCATAAGGACATACTACTATCACATAGTGTTTTCATCACAACAAAGAAGCACCAAAAGATTATTTTTTTGACTAAAATGCAAAAGCACAAAGCAAAGGAACAACTTAGTTAACTGAAGCTCACTCTACTTATCATCATCATCATTAGCCTTAATCCAACTCTCAATTAATTTGGACACAAGTTTTATGAATAATATTGTTGAGAATTTGATTTGAACTTATTACCAGCCTGCATTATCAAGCCAAGTTTAATTAAATAAGCATATGATTGATAACTTGAAACATGAGAGAATCTAGTTCTGAAAGTACCATTTGAATATTTAAACAAGACAACCTCATCTAGAAGATTGAAAAAACATAAGAAAAATGTACAAGGTAATACTAAATATAGGAAAAGTAAGATATTAAGAAATCTATAACTCAAATTGTGTTTCAATTTTCATGAATGCATGTTGTCATAAAAAGTAAAATAACAAAGTTAAAAATAAAATAATCACAAAAAGCTAAGGTTTTGATTAAGAAACCTAAGCTGAGAAAGAAATGCACAATCATCATCTAACAAAAATAGATGCGCTTGATCATGCCACTTGAGATGCCATCCTATGCACCTAACAAAGGTCCTTAAGATTCTAACCATGGGATTGATCTCAGACATTGGATCAATCCAATGATTCATCTAGATGACTCGACAAGGGAATACTAAATCCTTAAATACCTATCCAGCAACCTATTTTATGCCAGATAAGATTTAAGCAAAAATTCACATAAATCTTGCTAAATAGAATTTTGTGACTTAAATCCTACTTTCATAAATTCCATTTAAGCTTTTTTTATTAGTGAAGTCCAGGATTGTTAAATCCCACCATTCACAAGATTTAAATTATTTAAGTATTTATAATTCTAAAAAAAAAAGAGTACTTATAGCCCTCACGAATCTTAAAACCTGAAACAATATCCAAATAGTTCATCAGATTTTAGCAAGTTTTAAGAATTGTCATGTTAGCCATTTTAGGTTTTAATTTTCTCAAGATTTACAATAAATCTAGATTTACAGGATTTACTAACTCTTATTTTTTGGACAGAGATCCTAACAAAGCTAAGGCGAGTGCGTTTAGCAGTAAGATTATCAACCGTAACAGGGATTCCAATATAACTTGCTATTTTAGAAATACCCGAAGGAGTCCAAAGAGCAAGAGGAAGATCCAGAACCTTGATCCAAATAGGAATAGAAGTAGATTCATCTCTTTTAGGTTTGAATTTAGTTGACCATTGTTGTAGAACAAAAGGTTTACCTAGAAGAAACCGAGGCCCTCCAGACCAAACCATGTTATAATCTTCCAAATTATTGAATTTCAATAGAAAAAAACCTTCAGAAAGAGAGATTAGCGACAAAGATCCTTTTAACTTCCACAGCTTGTTCATGGAGGCGAGAAGACTCTTGTAATAAGGTCTTTGACCAATATAATAACTAACTAGAAATAAGTTCCAAAAAGATATACCTTCTGAGAGATCATCCTTTTTAAAAGATAATTTATGCTCAGGAGGAACAAAAGTCATATGAAAAACCTCAGATCGGGTTTCAGAAGCAGTAAAGTTATTCATCCAAGGAGCTGAAATAGCCGTCGTCTGCTGGCCGAGCATAGAAGTCTTTGAAAGAGGATGAAAATCCTCCATATTTCCAGCCATCTGGGCCGGAGGGATGGGGGAGAAACCCCCCTCTACGAGAAAACCCTAGGTTTTACAAAGAGAGCCGCCGCTTTTGCGAAAACCCTAGAGCCCACCTCTTAACAACCTTCTGGATGATATATTATTTCGTTTGTAGACAAATAGCCCCTAAAGTACTTAATCCTAAACCCTAAATCTAACTGGTACATCGTGCTGTGGCAACAGGATTTATGCAGGATTTGCGCAGGATAATCCTGCCAAACGGAATTTGAGCACCCGGTAAATCTCACGGCGGAATAAATCTTCTGTTTCCTCTTTTTGCTGTAAATCCTGGACTAAATCCTGGAATTCGGCGGATATACAGGATCTGGCCAAAGAAGCGCGCGAAAGGGAGAAAATAGTTACCTTCACAGCGAGCTACCGTCGGTACTTCCGATCCAACAGGAAGAACGTCGTCGAAATGTCGTAACTGCGGATCCGACATGAAGGGAACGTCGTAGAAGGAGCCGAATGAGCAACTCCTTGCAGCGAAGTCGAACAGCAACGAGTAAAGCAGTCGAAGAAGCGACTCCAGCAAAACTCTACCTCACGCGAAGCAACGAAAAACAACTAATTGGAACAGCAACCACGAAATAAAGAAGAGGAAAAGCAAACCCTAGACGTCCCAAGGCCTTCTCCAGTGCACCAGATCCCAAAATTCAGTAACTAGTCTCCACCAAATTATATTTTCTAAAAAAAAAAAGAAAAATTTATGTGGATGGACATTAATAGCTTGTTTTAGCTAGGGCTGCAAACGAGCCGAGCCGAAGGAAGGAAATATCAAATATGGGTGGTATATTTGATATTAAAATAATATAGGGTGGTATTTATGTAATATTAAAGTTTTAGGTGTTAGATATGTAAATAGAATGTTATAAAGTGGTATGTATGTAAATTTCCCAATAAAGAAGAGGAAAAGCAAACCCTAGACGTCCCAAGGCCTTCTCCAGTGCACCGGATCCCAAAATTCAGTAACTAGTCTCCACCAAATTATATTTTCTAAAAAAAAAGAAAAATTTATGTGGATGGACATTAATAGCTTGTTTTAGGCTTTTAGCTCTGTTTTTTGTTCTATTTTTTTTTTTGCTCTTGCTTTAACCGTCTCCATCATTGTTAGAAGAATATCATGAGTGGAAATCCATTATTTAACCTTCTAAAACATGAGAAATACTCCAAAGTTCATAAATTAAAAATAGAATTAACGTACAATTTGGATTGGCAAAATGCTAAACTCGTATCAATATAAATATGAGAGAAGAGCTTTATTATCATCAATTTCTCTGATGCTGCAAAGCTTCATATACTTCAAATAAAAACAGCATTTCAGTTTAGATGGCAAGCTGTTGAACTCCATCCAACCTAAGATTTGTAAAAGTTATTTTTGCAAGCATGAATTGAAAGCATAATAATATATTCTTCCACGAGTTAGTCTCATGGGTTGCATTAAATTAAGCAATAGAAAAGGTTTTCTAAATGATAATAAATGTTAATGTCATTTCTTTAAACTATATACAAAGAAACAAAATAACTCATATCTAAATCAGACATACAAATGCAAAGCATAAAAAACCCCTTATATTTTTTAGAATAAACAAAAATTAGCCCCCAACCATAAAAATCTAAATAAATAAAATAAAAAACAGATAATTTTGATATGGTAACTACTTATGAATGCGACTCACTTTCAAAAGATGATTCATGATATTGATCTCTCAATCTCAAATGCTAACTTTATTATCAATGATCTTTATAAATAATTGTCCTTTTCTCAAGTGATGTAACTCTAATCACACAATTAGGAAGACATAATCATTTGTGATGCCTTTCTATATACTTTCGTAAATATGAAATATGATTGGGCTTTAAATTTGAAAAGTCTAGTGAGTAGGAGAACATATTTGATTACAATTAAGAGAACAAGAAATAGTAAAATACACTGAACTCATAAGGGTTGAAACTACCAAAAAGTGAATTATTGTAGAGATCAAAACAAAGTGCCTTAGTTTCCATGAAAGCTAACCACAAATTGCTGGCAAAGGTGGAAGGGATAAGTATTCATCATTATCCAGGTGGGCAAAATCAAAAGAGCATCCCCAGTGTCTAGTTTTTGAAACAATGAACTTTTGGATGATTTGTGATAGAGTGAAAAAACAGTTAATCTTATTCCCAAACCTCCTTCCATTTCTTTCTATCCATATGTGTTATATAATACATCATATTTATAAGTATGTTATATTCCTATTTGAGGTTGAAGCATTGCACAAATCATGAAGGAATTAAAAAGTTAGGAAACACAAACAATATAAAAGGAAATAATCTATCTCACATCATTCCATATCTAAATCAAGCATACAAATGCAAAGCATAAATAGACTTATTAAATTTCTTATAACGAAAAAAAATTGCCCCTAGCCATAAAACTCTAAATAAATAGAATTAAAAACATTTAATTCTACTATGATTTAGTTTTTATGAATGTATCTCACTATTAGAAGAGGAGACATGATCTTGATCTCTCTTATTTTCGAACACTAACTTTTATTATGAACAACCTCTATAAACTATTTTCTTTTTCTAAAGTGGTGTAACTCCAATCACACAATCAAGAAGACATAACCATCTATCATGACTTTCGATATCCTTTTATAATAATGAAATATGAGTGTGCTTCAAATTTGAAAATCCTAGCAAGTTGGAAATAATATTTAAAAACAAGTAGGAGAACATGAAATTATAAAATACATAGGAATTAGAAGGGTCGAAACTATCCAAAATCAAATTATTGTAGAGATCAAAACAAGGAGCCTCAGTTGATATGAAAGCCATCCATGAGCTACTAGCAAAGGTAAATATGAATGGAATATGAAGGGTAGTGTATATAATAACAACACGATGAGGAATATACATAAAGGGTTGTCAAATCTTATAGTGTCAGATGTATGACTAGGATTTAGTTTGGAAAGAATTTTAAGTATCATTTTGTTTGGTTACGATTATGTTAGGGAAGAACCACAAGTGGCATTTATAGTACTATAGATAAATTAAAGGCAAATGTCATTCACTCACTACGGAGGATAATTAAAAATAAAGACAATTTTACAACTCAACACAAATAGGAAATAAGCTCATGAGTTGCAGTAAAACAATCAACAATGCTCAACCAAGAAATAAGAGAATATATTTGAATACAAAAGCAAGAGAACAT